TCATTACATATCCTTCCCAAGATATTCCTTTTGTCCCTGTCCGTGGCTCTTTTCAATTCATTCCTCAGTCTCCTGTATTTCCTCCTGCCTTCTTCATTGTTGACATTCTTCCATTTCCTTCACTCCTCCATTTTACTTATCTCATGTGTAACCCATGGTCTTCTTGCTATCTTCTCAACTTTACCAACCAAATCACTGATAGTATCTAACATGCATTCTTTTATATTTTTCCACTGCACTTCAGCATTTCTGCTTTCACCTTCAATTGCACCGAGTTTCTCTTCTAGGGTCTCCTGCACGCTTTGTCTTTGAGCATATAACTTCTCCAAATCCCATCTAGGTCTGCGCTTTTGGAATCTTATAATTGTCTTCAACCTGGTTCGCAACTTGGCAACCAGTAAGTTGTGGTCAGAGTCAATATCTGTCCCAGGCAGCATCTTCACAACTTTCACGCTGTTTCTGAATCGATGTTTCACAAGGGTGTAGTCCAGCTGATGTCGCCTTCAATTCCCAGGTGCCTTCCATGTGTAAAGTCTTCTCTTTGGCTTCTTGAACCAAGTGTTGGTAACAATCAGTCCATTTCTTTCACAAAAGTCAATAAGCATTTGACCCCTGTGATTCCATCTTCCTAGTCCATGTGATCCAACAATATTCTGATATGATTCATTTCCAACAGTGCTATTCCAGTCTCCCAATATGATGCTGTTTGTGTCACTTCTTCCATCTTCCTGAAGAATTTCTTCAGTTGTGTCATACACTTTTTCCACTTCATCATCTTCATACTCTGATGTTGGCATGTACACTTGCATAGTCAGTATATCTGCCAGTTCCGCCTTTAACTTCAGAGCAATAATTCTGTCATTACAAACAATCTTCTTGACAACGCTCCTCACTTCACTTTTATGCACCACTACTGCCACACCTCTTTCAGCCCGTTCACCTCCAGAATAATACATTGTATAATCACCACTTCCTATTTCACCTTGTCCCTTCCACCGCACTTCGCTGACACCTAAAACAGACACCTCATTCTTCTTCATTTCCGTTTTCAAATTCACCAATTTGCCTGCTTGATTCAAGGTCCTTACATTCCATGTTCTAATCTTCTAGCCGTGATATTCCTTCTGATCTTCACACTTCCTCTTGTCGTAACGCCTGTATGACATTTCCTCTAGAAACACTCCCCTCCCCCGGAGATCCGATAGGGGGGGGGGTAGTTTACCTCTGGATTGTTTTGTCTCCAGAGGAAATATCTCGCATACATGGTATCTCTGTTTTGGAAAGAGACTATCCAGGAAAAGTGATAATGTGGTAGTTCTTCCATTTGCTTTCCACATCGCAGTACAACAGCTGTTCAAACCACTCTTGTCACGCCTGTTGCTATACGAACTTGAACCATTTCATGCATCATTTGCTCTGTGCTTCAAGTCGCTGCTGACGCTGCTTCCGGTATCAGTTTTTGCTTTTTGGTATCTCTCTCCATCTGATGCCTACCCTTTGACCTATCCAGGAAGGGAGGCCCTGCCAGTAGCTATGCTACCGCTGGTATAGCACTCAGGGTCCTTGGCATACTCAAACCCCCTCACCACGATGAGGTGGAGACACCGAGGGGGATATACATATAAAACATTCGGCCAACTCTGGGTGCTGCTTACTGCATGCATATATATATATAACATTTGGCCATTAAAGGTTAATTAGATGCCTGTCCAGCCTTACAAGTACATAATTGTATTTAATTTGGAATTTGTTAAACAGTGGCAGTGCAGCTTAACTTCTGTTGAATCAGAAATCTCCATACATGCTGATGGACTCAGGCACACACCACACAAGGGGGGTGTGCTCTCTCTGTCCCTCCCTTCCTCCCCTCTCTGTCACCACTCTCACGCCTACTGATTTAACATCTCACTCTATGGGGGCTTCAAACTTATTTCTCTTCCTATTAGGATATTTCATCTTATTTACTCTCATTTTCCAGGATAATTTGAATGAACTTCAACCTGTACATGGGGAGGATCGACAGTATTCCTGTGATGAGTGTGGTGAATCGTTCAGTCATCAGAATTTTGTGAGAGCACATCGACGCAAGCATAGTGGGGAGCAGCTGTTTTGTTGTGATGTATGTAAAAAGTCATTCAGTCGGCCGAGTCATCTGAAAGCACATCAGCGCATACATAATGGGGAGAAGCCGTTTTGTTGTGATGTATGTAAAAAGTCATTCAGAATGCAGAGTAATCTGAAGACACATCAGCACGTACATAGTGGGGAGAAGCCGTTTTGTTGTGATGTATGTAACAAGTCATTCAGTCAGCAGAGTCATCTGAAGAGGCATCAGGGCATACATAGCATGGAGAAGCCGTTTTGTTGTGATGTATGTAACAGGTCATTCACTGATCATAGTAGTCTGAAGAGGCATCAGCGCATACACAGTGGGGAGAAGCCGTTTTGTTGTGATGTATGTAACAAGTCATTCAGTCAGCAGAGTCATCTGAAGACACATCAGCGCATACATAGTGGGGAGAAACCGTTTTGTTGTGATGTATGTAAAAAGTCATTCAGTGCGCAGAGTAATCTGAAGTCACATCAGCTCATACATAGTGGGGAGAAGCCATTTTGCTGTGATGTATGTAATAAGTCATTCAGTGATCGTAGTAGTCTGAAGAGACATAAGCGCATACATGTTGATGTGTGCAGCAAATCATAGAGCAGTAGAGATGGGTTTAGGCTGAAGGAACAGTATGTGACTTATAGCATGCCACAGTTTTGTAGAATGCTGCAATATATTGGAGTTGATTGCTGTTGCTAACCTTTAGAACTGATGGGAAATGAACTGTGTCCCATGGTACAAAACATCTGTGCAAATGAGTTGCATTTGATTCTGATTGCTGAATGTGCACAATGCCCTGTCTTGTTGAGTGGAAACAGACATGACGTGACATGACATGACATGACATTCGCCTACAGTTATGATATTAATTCAGCACTGGAAGCTAATGATTAGGAGAGAGTAGCACTGAAACGGATCAACAGCTTATACACACAATTCAGCAACATCATATGCTTTTGGCTGTACATTATCTGTGCTCTTCTGCCATTACATGTGAGTAAATTCGTTGATCCGTTAGTTACAGATTGATGTATTGCTTGGATTGAGTATATTGAGATAACTATTATGGATTGGTCAGATGAATACAAACTACGCTATATTGGACATTGAAGACGAGATATATTTTTGTGGGATACTTGGTATAAAGAAGGTTAAATAAATGTGGATTGATTTTGCTTGTGGAGAAATGTAGTACAGAGAATTTAATTGAAAGGATCAAGAAAGAATTGCTTACATCTTCTCATTGTGAATATCAGCAGAGAATCTGAGTGGTCTGTCATGAGATCAAAAATGAAAGTGGTTTGGCACTGAGGCACTCCTTTTTGCTTTAGGTCTCCTTTCCCTAAGAGGGAAAGAGTCAACTGAAAATTGTGAAGTAGTTAGTTAGTTAGAGAGGGTGGGTTTCCCCATGCACCGCGACCAGTTTGATCTATTGTGCTTCCTTCCCTCTTATGATATTCTACCAGTCTCTTTACCCTACCAATAAATGAAGTAAGTTTCAGTGTAATTATATAATTCTTTAATAAAATCAGGCAGTCATTGATATTTTTAATTGCAATTCAGAGGTTTCATGTAGTAGAATGATACAAGAGGAATAGCTTTTAATTAAACTTAAATTCAGTGCAGTTATACCCCACCCTCCATACCAGTTCATTTCACTGCCTGAATGATCTGCATCGTAACTGAAGCTAATTCTTGGTCACTCTGAACAAGTGATCTCTGATTACTGACACTTATCTTGCCAAGGAACACTTGCGCTTCATTTTGCATAAGATGTACCATGCATTCGTCCCTCAGTAACTTTGTATCAGCAGAGCTCTTCCTCATGTGTCACCACACATTGGCTGTCGCTGCATCACCAAAACTGATGCTGCTCCATGGTCCAGGAATATGTGTTCCATTTTGTGTCTCTTCACCATATACAGTAGTGGGCAGCGCACAAATGGATTTGCAAGTTGCAGTTGTCCTCAGAAAAGTGTGAAGGTAGGCTGATGCTGTGTATTCTGTATGCCTAAAGAAGGGAATATGGAGTGAAATCATCTGGCTCAGGATAGGGGCCAGTGTCTTGCTGTGAATGGTAATGAACCCTTACATCCCATAACCTGTTGGTAATTCATTGAGTAGCTTCACTGAAAAGGTGCAGCTGTGTGAATTTGGTTAATATTTGGCATTAGAACTTCTAGATTTATTGTCTGGAACTGGCATTTGTTTGTTGACCCCATCCTGCTGAAGCCATCCAAATGTGTTTCTGGTGGTCAGTAAGTCTGGGTTTTCCTGTTATATGTTTATAAAACCCTGTATTCCCACCAGACTGAAGCAAAGCTTGACTACTTCCACGAAATGTATTTCCAGTTTAATTACTGCTACATAAGTAACTCCAGGGAACTGAGTTAGTAATCATTAACCTTTAAGTGCCAAAGTGCCCCGTTTGTGCCAGTCATGAGTAAGGTTGTCGTGGCCAAAGTACCCAGTTTTGGCCAGTCAGGCATTTAAACTCCGCTAGTGGAAGCGCGCGCGCACACCGCTACTGGAAGCGCATGCACAGTCCTAAATATTTATTTTTAAATGTAGTTATTAGCAGACAGACTTGAGTAAAACCATAATAGAGGAATTAAAATAATACCTAACTGAACAGCAGCAAATAAAAATATACGTATGAGTTATGCCACAACTTATCCACTATCCAGTAACTTTATTGCAGATTCTGCAGATAGGTATGTTAAAAATATACATTAAAATTCGATGTACATACCTTTTTGTTACCTGCTTGATGTATATATAGGTTCAAATGGAATTACAATATTCAATTTCACTACGAACGCACACAAAACAAATAGCGCTCTGTATCTCAGCCACGATGCAGCTGTTTGTTCATTCAAATAGAAGGGGCAAAACTTTTGCAGCTCTGACGGAAGGTCTTAGCACTGAAGAAGGGACCCCTCTAGCTTTTTCTTGAATAACCATTCCTTCATTCTTCTGAACTTCAGTCAAAGATTCGAAAATCCGAATGTTGTAAGAAGTGCTAGCAGAAGACCAAATGATTTTACTGCTTCCATCTGTTTTATGACACCAGGGACTGCTAAAATTTGTCAAGTGTTACAAACAAATGAATTTATAATGCAGAAAATCTCTGTGAAGAACTGGGAAACCATTTTTGCAGTATGCATCAAATTAAGACACAAAAAAATTGAAAATAGCGTATAACACTTTGTATTACAAATTTCAAATCTTCCATTATGAAATTTGACACTATGTTCTTTTCTGATATAAACAAAGTTAATTCCATCCATTTATCATAAAAATTGAGCTAGATACAGCATTTTTAAACAAAACACTTAAAATTGATTAAGCGCCTAACAGGAACGGACATTTAAACGCACGCTGTGCACAGCAAAACAGCCGCCTGGTGTAACTGATTCACCAGAAGACAATGCAGAGCCACATGGAAAGGATGGATGAAGAGACAAATAACAGTACAGACCTCGGGGAATAAGAAATGTGAACGAGAAAGTAAGTGGGCAGAGCAACAGTGAGACTCTGAATGTGACATAGAAGCCTGTACCTTTACTGGAGAAGAAGAAAGAAAGTTTCTGACTTATGCTTCATTCACCAAAATTCAGAATTTAAAATTGGTATTGTATATCACTCAGAATCACTTGCTGGGTTTTTGAATTGTGTTCATTGGTGTTCACAAAACAAGAGAATGTACCATTTCATGAACTGGGTCTGTTTCGGTCCTCTGCTGGGGGGGGGGGGGCACAACTGCTCTGCTGGGGCCATTAGAGGGAGCTCTTTCTTGCAGGACAATGAACAAAGCCCAAAAATCCAGAACTTNGAACTGGGTCTGTTTCGGTCCTCTGCTGGGGAGGGGGGGCACAATTGCTCTGCTGGGTCCATTAGAGAGAGCTCTTTCTTACAGGACAATGGACAAAGTCCAAAAATCCAGAGATTCCAGAAACCTTTAGAGTCTACAGGTATCCTACAAGTGTGTGTGTGTGTTTGTGTTCTTGCGAGCATGTGTTATTTAGGGTTTATTTTACAAAGGTCTTAGTATTTTAGGCTACGTAGCATTGGTTGGAATAATGCTTGATAAGTGGTGAACTTGGAACAATTTTAAACAAAGCAGTCGTAACATTTTTCCCTGCAGCATCTAAAGAATAACCTGGAAAGACTCATTCGGTACAGCCCGTATCCCCACCAGTAATCGATTGGAGCATTCAGATGCGAGTATAGAGAGCAACCACTGCACAAATATGCTTGTCACATCATCAAATTGTTTCATGTCTGTAATGTTCATTGTTGAATTGGATGATAATGGAGTCTGGCTGTGCCATGTGTGTACCTGTATGTCGTCATGCTGTATGTTGGTAATTAATGGAATATTGAGATAATGTGAGCAAAGTACAGTCGATAGAGGGTCAGACTTGCTGGTGCGCAGCATTTAATCAACTCACATCTGCTTTTGGCACAGATATTACTCACATAAACCGTGTGGAGCAGAAGGATGTGGAGATTGTGTCCATTTCACTGTCAGTGTGCTTCAACTGTTTGCATGTCATGTCATATGCTAACATAGCCAAGATGGGCCACAGAAGCACGGTTCTTCCTCCTCAACACTGTGGGGTTAAGTGGCGTTGTTGGTGATGTGGCCAGTTCGAGTTCCATTACTTCTGAGGCTTCTACTTCTGGTTCTTCTCCCACTGCAACTTCTTCCATATGTACTTTTACTTGTGACTGTTAATTGCACTTTGACTGATACTTCTGCTTCCACAAGTTCTCTATCTCACAATTGTACTTCTGTGACCTGTACCACTAGCACTTGTATTTTGGCATAGTTAACCCTGTGTGTTAAGCTATTGCAGTGTGCTAATTGCATAAGTGACATCGTTATTCATCATACCAGTGAACTGATGATCACTTGCCCATCAATTAAGAACCAAACTGTCAGCAGCTGCTTCAATTCACATCGCCCTGATCTGTGCATTTCTTTGACCTACGCTGAATCCACTTAGGTTCCACATGCAAGATCCCAAGATAAATCCTTGCCCTCCCAAAAGCTTTAAATGCCTTACTAAGAAATGATCGTGGATTGAGAGGGTTTTTGCTTCAATGGGTAGGCTACAAAATTCCACATAACATTTAATTTAAACCCTTTTGCAGGCACTACGGCAGACATACACATAAATATTCCTATGAAAGACATTTAAGTCACACATCATCAATTTTCTGATGTTTTTTAATAGATGGCCACATCAGTGTTATGCAGAATTATATCATAACCTACAAAGAGTTGGGATACTAGGTTTTCGGACTTTGTCCATCGTCCGGATTTTAAAAAACACAAAGTTTCAGAAACTGGATCTGTTTCCTTCCTCAGGTGAGGGAATCCTACTCTGTTGGGTTCCTTAGAAGGAGCTAGCCTCAATCACTCGACCTAATTGAACACCATTAACCTTTAAGAGATGGCCCTTTAAATTCCGGTAATGGCTGCGGGACGGATTTAATTTAAATACCTGCAATTATAAAGCAATAAAAACGGTAATCATTTACTAAAATTGCTGTGATTTCTACAATTTTTGTGATAAACGAACCAAATAAAGACTGCTTTTTTCTAGAAAGAATATAGAAACAGATATTGTAATTTACAGACTTTATAAAAATTGTAAAAATTTTTAGACTGATTTCAACAAAAATATTCCCCAATTTGTCGTCTGTCTACAAGAATTCATACAGTTCTTGCAAGTACGAATGCTGCTGAAGTGGCAACACAGCAGATGCGCTAGCCGGGGTTAGGCCTGCGTGTGTCAGTGTATATTCACGTATGTTCTTTTGGTATGCAGAGATATGGGCGAGTATCTATTCATTCATAAGAACCCTGATTGTTTTTTATCGCTTATAGCTACACAACAAGTTCTCAGTTCTGACAGTGCTGAGTTAGTTTTTATAGGAACTTTCAAGGCTACCGTCCTTATGCCACAGCCAAACAATGTCATAACTTTCAAAGCTAGCATTCAGTGAAGTTGTCAGCCCACACCATGGCGACGTCTCGTTTGGAAGATGCTGACATATTTCAACTCATAAACGACTCTGAATCAGATTGTTATACTGACAATTCTGAGAGTGGCGTTGAGGAAAGTGAATCAGAAATTGATTTCGACAAAGAAACATCATCTTCGTCGGCAACCTGGGGACCACCAGACCAGCGTGGCAAGAGGAGTGTGAATAATTATTCAGGTGGAACTGTGGGGTTAAATACCAATGAAGTGCCACACTTGAATAAGGATTCCACCCCTTTCTGCGTTTTCATGCTGTATTTCGCAGGGATTATCTGTCTGCTGGTGGAAGAGACGAACAGGTACTACCATCAGCACGTAGACAGACGTCAAGACGGACCTTCTCCGCAGCCTGACGTGACCGAATCCAAGATGTTTCTGTTTCTAGGAATAATCATTCAAATGGGACATGACAATAGAGGCAGACTAAAGGACTACTGGTCGACTCTAGAACAATTTGCCACGCCTTTCTACTCTTAGACAATGAAACGCGACCGTTTTCTACACATTCTTCGTTTTCTTCATTTTGCAGACAACAGTACAGAAATTGACAGGAATGCCGACAGTTATGACCGACTATAGAAAATTCGGACCATCTTCGACACTCTCAAAGACGCATTTGAAAAATATTATAACCCTTCCGAACATTTGGCCATTGACGAAATAATTGTAAATTACAAAGGGGGGATGGTTTTTAGGCAGTACATTCCTAAGAAACACAAACGTCTTGGAATCAAAATCTTCAAAATTTGTGACGCCGCTGGGTATACTTATGACATGAAAGTTTACCTAGGAAAAGACAGGACACGTGCCAGCCAAGACATGACAGCGACACATGCTACAGTTAGGGACCTATGCAGACGTATTGAGGGCGTAGGTCACAAACTGTACATGGACAATTTCTTTTCTTCACTCGACTTGTTTGACGAACTGATGACAAAGAACATAACGTGCTGTGGGACAGTCAGACCTAATCGGAAGGGCTTGCCTGACGATTTTCGACGAAGACAATTTCGACCGAAGAAAGGGAACATTTGTGTTAGGGTGAGACAGAACTTGACATCACTAGTTTGGAAGGACAAACGTGACGTTTACATACTGACAAATATGCACTCTCCTCCAGCAGAAGGCAGTTTCTGTGATGAGCACGGAAATGCCATGAAGCCAGCAATTGTTGCTAACTACAACAAGCACATGGGTTATGTCGAAAAAGCAGACAGAATGGCAAACAGTTACAGCATCTGTCGTCGAACCTGGAAATGGACAAATAAATTATTTTTCCATCTCCTGGATCTGACGATTCTGAACAGTTATATCCTGTTGTCATCCTGTGGCACGAAATTATCACACAGAGAATTTCGTCTTGCCCTTGTGCGGAACATGCTGGAGCATGCTGGAAGGGGCCCCCCTCGCCCTCAACGGCCCAGGGGTCGACCCCCTGCCGTTTCATCGGAGTCATTTAGAATAGAGGAGGCCAAACAACAGCACTGGCCGACTTCCTCTACTTCGAAATTGAGGTGTCGAGTGTGCTCTTCGCGTGGGAAATGAAGAACCGTCCGCATAAAGTGTGTGAAGTGTGACGTCAGACTCTGCATTTCCGGATGTTTCCAAGATTTCCACATGAAGCCAACATTCCATTAGATGATGCAGGTGGGAAGAGAGACAACTTATAAAGCTGGTGTCCAAAAATCATATAAGTAGAAAAAGAATTTATTACTTAAAATTAGATTTTAAAAAGCCGGCCACACGCATGGGCTGCGCGACGTCATATGGAGTCATTCGTCCCCTTGACTTTATTTTTGTTACTCCATATTCTTACCGCCCTTACCATTCGCCTACCCGTTCGGCGCCACCT